CTCCCGCATGCTCCGCTTTGGGTTTCCTAAGTGTTATTTTTCTGGTGAGCCGCCGATCCGGACTCGCCTCCCCCAAGGCTGGTTCCTTCCTCGGGGGATTCCTCGTTGCTCCCTTTGGACCCCCGTTTTGCTAGAGAGGCCCCCGCGTTTGCTGCTTCTCCGGGTGCCGCTGCGGAACCGCTTCAAAACGCGGGTCCCGGTGCAGCCGCCGCGTCGGCACCAGCTCCTCGGCCTCGGCCTCGGAAAACGATGCGGAGGAGGGTGCGTGGCCGTCCGGCTTCCAGACTGTCCTGGAAGGCAGCGCTCCCTGCTCCCATTAGGAAGCAAATCCCAACACGGGCCTTTTTCCCTCAAAACGCCCTCTCTGCACGGCTGCAGCTGCAGCAGCTCTTGCCCGGCAGATCTTTGCCAGCCGTCGTGGTGTGAAGAGGCAGCGAGGCCCCTGCAAATGTCCCTGCTGGCTTTGAAATCCAGATTTATCCAGTGAGACAGTTTTCATTTGACAGCTCTGCGTCGCCACAATGAACCTCCCCGTTTGCCTCCTAACTAAAACGCTGCTTCTGGACGCTGCTCTGCCTTTCCCTGCAGCTTCCCCGGCTGCAGAGCGCTAGATCTCTAGTATCCTGATGCAAAACCCACCAGAAGGAAGGTCCTTGTTTGCACCCAACTTTGCATCCCATGTGCTTTGAACGTTTGCTAATGCTCCTGCCTTTCCTTAGATGCAAAGGCAAGAATTAAGGGCAGTTACGGAGGCTGCCAAACAGCAGGAGACGCAGGAGGGAGCCGGGACCTCGGCCGCGCTGCCGCCCACCCGCCTGTTTGTCACCCTCGAGCCGAGCCGGGCAGGAAACGGGTTTCCCAGCAGTTTCCCACGTTGTGTTTTTCCCATTGTGAATCACCGTGCAAATACGACGCAGCAAAAATACGATACGCCACGAAACGTTCTGCCGCTCCGGCTTTCATCCCGCTTCTCTGTCTTGTACTACAGGGCCAAACAAGAAGCGTGCGTGTTTTCAGTCTAAAAACGCCAGCATCCCATTCTGGTAACTTTCAGCATGTTTTACTACAGGATTCATCAGGAATAATCTTCCCTGTTATAATGAATTTAGAAAAAAAAAGATACTGGAGTTAAAACATATCCTCTTATGACATTTTTCCACCTCGCTGCTGCTGGATCCTTTTGGGAAGGGCACGAGCAGCCTATTTGCAAAGACAGACAGGGCACGAACACCCGTTATCTCCCAGCTCGTGCCTTAAAGGAGCATCTCCTTCCTCCTACACTCCAATAGCATCTCAACAGCTCATTTCTCAGCTCCTGCAATAGGAGGGGTCCTGCAGTTCATCTTTTGCTTTGTCTAACCGAAGATGCTGTCAGAAAAGCACTTTCTTTCATGCAGTCCTGCGTGCTTTGCAGGAAGGACTTGCAGGGAAGCAGCACTGGATATTGCGTTTGCAAAGGGCCACGCGAGGTTGGATGTCCCCTGTTTGCTAAGGGCCATGCAAGGTTGGGTTCTGCTCTCGGCATCCACACTGTGACATCTCCTTTGCACATACCAGGCTGCCCCTCGCGTGTGATCCTCAGCAGATTGATTTAATTTGCAAATAAGCTATGAAAAATCAGCAGGAGGAGGTGATATTACAGCGGCTGCAGAAAAAGGAAGAGGGCAGGAAGGTTTCCGCGAAGCCGCGCGCTCCGCCGGCACGATGCGACCCGGCTGCACGAGGAGGCGGCAGGAAAGCCACAGAAGCGCTGATGGAATCGAGGCAGCGCTCAGCAGCGGCGCGGAGGGTCGATGCCTATCGGGCAGCTCGTGTTGGCCTCGAGCTCGATGCTTTTATCGGGCTGCCTGGATGCAGGGCAGGCGGGAGGGAGCCCCCCGCGCCCTCCTCATCCCCGGCGAGGGCAGCAATTCCCTCCTCCTGCCACGAGCATCTGCCAGCAGCCTCCGGGGACCTGGATGCTCCACGCGGCCTCCCGGGACCTGGATGCTCCCCGCGGCCTCCCGGGACCTGGATGCTCCCCGCGGCCTCCCGGGACCTGGATGCTCCCCGCGGCCTCCCGGGACCTGGATGCTCCCCGCGGCCTCCCGGGACCTGGATGCTCCCCGCGGCCTCCCGGGACCTGGATGCTCCCCGCGGCCTCCCGGGACCTGGATGCTCCCCGCGGCCTCCCGGGACCTGGATGCTCCCCGCGGCCTCCCGGGACCTGGATGCTCCCCGCGGCCTCCCGGGACCTGGATGCTCCCCGCGGCCTCCCGGGACCTGGATGCTCCCCGCGGCCTCCCGGGACCTGGATGCTCCCCGCGGCCTCCCGGGACCTGGATGCTCCCCGCGGCCTCCCGGGACCTGGATGCTCCCCGCGGCCTCCCGGGACCTGGATGCTCCCCGCGGCCTCCCGGGACCTGGATGCTCCCCGCGGCCTCCCGGGACCTGGATGCTCCCCGCGGCCTCCCGGGACCTGGATGCTCCCCGCGGCCTCCCGGGACCTGGATGCTCCCCGCGGCCTCCCGGGACCTGGATGCTCCCCGCGGCCTCCCGGGACCTGGATGCTCCCCGCGGCCTCCCGGGACCTGGATGCTCCACGTGGCCTCCTGGGACCTGGATGCTCCACGTGGCCTTGCGCAGGGGACGGTCCTGCCGGGCAGCTGGGATGGGACCTCCCCAAGGAGCATCGGGGAGCCCAGGTTTCACTCAGCATTTCAGGGCAATGCCCGGAGCACATCGGCACGCAAGGCTTTTCCAGCAGATGCTTGGCCAGCGCCTAGTGAGGGTTCATAACGGTGACGGCATCCGTAGCCGCCTTGGATTTACGATCTACGGGAACATATTCTTCACCTTCTGTGAAATATTCCTGGCGGCAGGAGGAGTTCTGGATGCAAGATGTTCCTGCATAAAGCGTTAGGGACCTCCTGCATTTACTCGTCGGGGGCAAGGGAAAGGATGTGTGTGCATGCGAGCACGGATCAGTATGTCCCACGCGTTATGTACGTAGGCGCAGCACACTTGTTTCTCCACCATCTCAGCTGTGTTTAAAAGCAGGGCTTCCAAAAGCTTCTGCAAACTATTTTTACCCTCTACAAGCAATTTTAGTTAATTAACCCGCTAAATGAGTTCTCGTCCACGAAGACACCTCTCCCAACTGAGATTTTTCCCTAGATTTGGATGAAATGCAATGATTGAGTCATGACTTTTTTCGCTGGCTCCACTGCCGGATGGGGGAACGTTACTCACAGTGTTGTCTGTTGCCATATGCTTTCCTCATCAAGCAGGAGGGTGCAACTTTCTTTTTGCTTCCCCCTGCACTGACTCACTCCCCAAATATGTTTCTGGTTAGGACGCCTCGTGACTTCCCCCGGCCGCGAGGTTTTGCAGTTTGCCGCTCGCTCGGCGCGTCGGCTCCAAATCAGAGAATAGAATCACAGAATGCTCAAGGTTGGAAGGGACCTCTAGAGATCATCTAGTCCAACCCCTGCACACGCAGGGTCACCTTAGAGCAGTGGCACAGGACTGCGTCCAAGCGGGTTTGAAGATCTCCAGAGAAGGAGACTCCACAACCTCTCTGGGCAGCCTGTTCCAGGGCTCTGCCTGTTTTACTGCGTAACTGCTTATAGATCTCCATAATCATACTACAGTATTTAATACATATATCTTCATTATCAGCCTTTGCATGTGGTAACTAATTTTCATAGAGCATTTCCGAAGCAAGTAAAATCAAGTGTAGATTTTGCCATTAGTTTCAATGGAAATAAAATCGGTTTCCGTCATTTTCTTTTTAATTAACAGAATATCATGGTGATTAGCGGTGCAGAGCCTAGTTGGAAGCCTGTAGTTAGTGGTATCCCCCAGGAGTCAATCCTCAGTCCAGTCCTGTTCAATTTATTCATCAATCTAATCAATGTCTATAAGTACTGCAAGGGAGGGAGTGAGGAGGATGGTGCCGGCCTCTTTTCACTGGTGGCCACAGACAGAACTAGAGGAAATGGCCACAAACTGAAGCACCAAAAGTTCCACAGGAACTTAAGGAAAAATTTCTTAACAGTGAGGGTGACAGAGCACTGGAACAGGCTGCCCAGAGAGGTTGTGGAGTCTCCTTCTCTGGAGATCTTCCAAACCCGCTTGGACGCAGTCCTGTGCCACGTGCTCTAGGTGACCCTGCGTATGCAGGGGGTTGGACTAGATGATCTCTAGAGGTCCCTTCCAACCCTGAGCATTCTGTGATTCCATGCCTCAGTGTCCCGGGTTGTATTCCAGTGCTCGGCTTTGCGGGACATTCCCCATCACCTCCATCCTTCAGTTTCGGGATGCGGGAGACCATGAGGATGCTGCTCTCCCTCCTCTCCTTTTTTGCTTGTCCAATGCAAAAAGAGAAATGGAGCGACATCAGTGACACCTGGGGGCACCATGGCCCTTGCAGGAGGGACAGGAGACTTCATGGTCAGAAAAAAAAATATCCTAGCTGCAAAATCTCCTGGATTCTGCCTTTAAAAAATAAATAAAAGGGAACTGATGAAACCCAACATATGTGTTATTAAAACTGAGCAAAACGTGCTTAGGCTTGTGGCCTGCGGCTCCTCAAGGACCTTGTCGGAAGCCCCAGGGAGGAAGAACACGCTGGTCTGCCAGGGCTCTCCCCCGCTTCCCTTCCATGTTTCCATGAAGCCGTGTGCTGGGAAAAGGAGCGAGCTCCTGGGAATGCGCTGCTTCCTGCTGCACCTTCCACACGCATCCAAGTGCTCCCCACGGAGCTCCCTGCCCGGCCGGCCCCGTTCCGATCCTGCTTGCGGAGCGCTCTGCTGCGATTTCTCCTTTTCCCTGCGTTTTTAGCTGCTTCCCATCGCGCTGCCCTGGGCCTCGGCTCCTCCAGCGGCCCCGGCTGCCCTCCGGTGTGTCCTCCTCGGTGTGTCCCACCGTGTAGTCATCTCCGTGCTGTTATCTAGGCAGCTTAAGGCTATTCCCAAGCGAGGGCTGCCAGAAAACACTGGCACCCCCCTGGGCACCTTTCCACTCGCACACGCAGCGTCTCCCGAGCTCCGACACTCTCCCACATTGGAACAACAGCGGTTCCCCGGCTGCTTTTCCTCAGCTCCCAGCTGCTCCTTCTTCTCCCGTTCCTTCCTCTGCACTTTCTTGCCTCAGGGGCTGGAGGGACCCCCTGCACCAAGTCCCTGCTGTTCCCGGGCATTCCCATGGGAAAGGCACGGGATTGGCTCCGAGATGCGCCCGCGCTTTGGCGATGGGTTGATTCCCAACTCGCTTCCCTCCACTTTGGTGGCTTGTGCCCTGCCCGTGGAGCAGCCGGGTGCGGAGACGAGCTGGGACCGGCAGCATCAGCGGCCCCGATTCCTGCAAGGGCCTCTGCCGTTCATCCCGGGATGCCACCAGCGTCCCCAAATGCCTGGGGAGCCCGGGACAGCACGGCTTGCTTCGGGAATGGGCCCAGGGGCTTTCTGGCCACTCCGCTTCCCATCGGAAGCATCTGAAAAATGGCCGTGGATAATCACAGCTGCGCTGTTGTCGTTAGGGGATTTTTCTCTTCCCTTTTCCCCACCGCTTCCCAGGAAATCACTCGCACCAGGATGCTGTCCGCGCTCCGGCCAGGCAAGCGATGGCCAAGACAACCCCGCGGTGCAAATTCCATCTCCACCTGGCGGCTCCCGCGCGGCCAAGGGCTCCTCCGGGAACACGCAGGGATTCGGCTGTGCCGGGGGCTGCAGGAGCCGCGTGTTTCGGCACCTTATTTGGCCATCGCTGCCCGGCCAGAGCCAGGAGCTCATTGCGGCCATGGGGAGCCGCAGATGATGCAAGCAGCCGATTTTTGCATTTCTGGCCTCACTTTGCAGCCGTGACACCGAGAATCCAAGACGGCACGTGCCCAGAGACACCCATTTGGGTTAAAAAAGGAGAAAACCCCCCAAACAGAGTGAACGGTTTCAGGCAGCAGCCGGGGCCCTGCGGCAGCGCCGCGCGCTCCGACGGACCCCGGCCGAATTGCATCAGCCGCGGCCAGCGGGTCGCCTGTAACCCTTTCCACGCAGCGCCTGTTGCTTGACACCAGGATAACACCCTGATCCGCTCCAGGCAAGCTTCATCCAGAGCCGATTCCATCCCTGGACAAATAAACGGTGCTGCAGCCTTCCCGTTTTGGGGGAAAAAAGGGTGGTAACGGGGCAGCTCCTGGAGGGATGCTGCCCCTGCCAACCACCCCCCGCCACACACACACACTTCCCTTTTGTATCATTTGCATTAACACAAATACCTCTGCATTATTGCATATTGTTCCATGCAAAACTTGTGTGTTTTTGCTAGCTAAAGCTTTTCCTGGATGCGGATGGGGCCGGGGAGGAAGGCGAGCCGGCGGGGACAGGAAGCGCGGCCGCCCCGCCGGGACGCACGCACCGCTGGGTGGGAACCGCAGGAAACGCCGAATATTGGGCTATTTTGGCCCTTTATACCAGTGCGGGCTCATAGTTAAAGCCAGTTCCCGTTTCATACGGGCACAGATGATGGGGCCGGAGGGAAGCACCGCGGCTCCCGGCCTCGGCCCCGGCCTGGACTGCGAGATAAAGGTAAGGGATGGCCTAAACTCGTCCCCCCCGGCCCCTCTGCGCCTTGTCCCCAGCTCCCCATCCTCGATGGACAGTGACCTCCTTGCACGCTGGTCCCCATCTCCTTGCCCCTCCTTGCACGCTGGTCCCCAGCTCCTCAGCCTCTTGCACGCTCATCCCTTGTTCCTTACACCCCTAGCACGCTGGTCCCCAGCTCCTTGGTCCCCTTCACACCCGCTGTGGCTCCTCAACCCCTCTTTGCACAGCTGCCCCCCAGCTCGCCTTGCCCCTCTGCACCGCAACCGCCATCCCCTCACACCCCTGCACACCGGGTCCCTGCAGCCCAGCACCTCAGCGCTTCAGCCCTTTTGCACAGCGGTTCCCTGCCCCTCGGTCCCTTGCACACCTGCCCCCAGCCCCTTGCACACCAGTTGCAGCCCCTCGCTCCCTTGCATGGCAGTTCTTGGCCCCTTGCACACTGCCCATTCCCTTTGCACGCCGCTTGCAGCCCCTTTGCCCCTTGCACGGCAACTCCCTGTCCCTTGTCCCCTTGTACGGCAGATCCCTGTCCCTTGTCCCCTTGCACGCTCCTCATCCCCTTTGCACGCCGGTTGCAGCCCCTCGGCCCCTTGCACGGCAACTCCCTGTCCCTCACTCCCTTGCACGGCAGCTCCCTGTCCCCTGTGCACGCTGCCCATCCCCTTTGCACGCTGGTTGCGGCCCCTTGTCCTCTTGCACGGCAGCTCCCTGTCCCTTGTCCCCTTGTACGGCAGCTCCCTGTCCCTTGTCCCCTTGCACGCTGCTCATCCCCTTTGCACGCCGGTTGCAGCCCCTCGGCCCCTTGCACGGCAACTCCCTGTCCCTCACTCCCTTGCACGGCAGCTCCCTGTCCCCTGTCCCCTTGAACGCTGTCCCTTGTCCCCTTGCACGGCAGCTCCCTGTCCCTCACTCCCTTACACAGCAGCTCCCTGTCCCTTGTCCCCTTACACGGCAGCTCCCTGTCCCTTTTCCCCTTGCACGGCAGCTCCCTGTCCCCTGTCCCCTTGAACGCTGTCCCTTGTCCCCTTGCACGGCAGCTCCCTGTCCCTCACTCCCTTACACAGCAGCTCCCTGTCCCTTGTCCCCTTACACGGCAGCTCCCTGTCCCTTTTCCCCTTGCACGGCAGCTCCCTGTCCCCTGTCCCCTTGAACGCTGTCCCTTGTCCCCTTGCACGGCAGCTCCCTGTCCCTCACTCCCTTACACAGCAGCTCCCTGTCCCTTGTCCCCTTACACGGCAGCTCCCTGTCCCTTTTCCCCTTGCACGGCAGCTCCCTGTCCCCTGTCCCCTTGAACGCTGTCCCTTGTCCCCTTGCACGGCAGCTCCCTGTCCCTCACTCCCTTACACAGCAGCTCCCTGTCCCTTGTCCCCTTACACGGCAGCTCCCTGTCCCTTTTCCCCTTGCACGGCAGCTCCCTGTCCCCTGTCCCCTTGAACGCTGTCCCTTGTCCCCTTGCACGGCAGCTCCCTGTCCCTCACTCCCTTACACAGCAGCTCCCTGTCCCTTGTCCCCTTACACGGCAGCTCCCTGTCCCTTTTCCCCTTGCACGGCAGCTCCCTGTCCCCTGTCCCCTTGAACGCTGTCCCTTGTCCCCTTGCACGGCAGCTCCCTGTCCCTCACTCCCTTACACAGCAGCTCCCTGTCCCTTGTCCCCTTACACGGCAGCTCCCTGTCCCTTTTCCCCTTGCACGGCAGCTCCCTGTCCCCTGTCCCCTTGAACGCTGTCCCTTGTCCCCTTGCACGGCAGCTCCCTGTCCCTCACTCCCTTACACAGCAGCTCCCTGTCCCTTGTCCCCTTACACGGCAGCTCCCTGTCCCTTTTCCCCTTGCACGGCAGCTCCCTGTCCCCTGTCCCCTTGAACGCTGTCCCTTGTCCCCTTGCACGGCAGCTCCCTGTCCCTCACTCCCTTACACAGCAGCTCCCTGTCCCTTGTCCCCTTACACGGCAGCTCCCTGTCCCTTTTCCCCTTGCACGGCAGCTCCCTGTCCCCTGTCCCCTTGAACGCTGTCCCTTGTCCCCTTGCACGGCAGCTCACCTTGTCCCAGCACCCTGCCTGTCCCCACACCTTCTCCAAACAGCCCCTTCCAGCACGGAGCCGTTAGCCCCCTGCCCGTGCACCCTCCTCAGGACCCTCTCCAGGATCCTCTCCTAACACCCGTCCCCAGCACCCTGCTTGATTGAGCACCCCGTCCCCAGCACCCTGCCCTATCCCCTGCCTTTAGCACCCAGCCCCTTCTCCCAGCTCCCCGGTTGCCCTCGGATCCCCTCCCGCCATCCCATCCTGCCCTCCCAGTGCCCCAGGATGTCCCGCTGCTCTCCCTGTTTTCCGTAGCTTTTCTCCCCGCCGCCTCTCCCCCG